TCTGGAAAGAATGGGGAAGGTCCCCTAGACCTGTACCATCCATTGTTTAAGCGCAGCTGCTGGACCGGGAGATGGCCCGGGGGAGAAAGAGCGAGAGAACTGGGGTGGGTCGGTCCCTTAAGTTGAGTTGAGGGACCTATTCTCAACATTACATTTACTTTTGGGGCGGGTTTCGAATGCAGCCACCATTTGAAGGATTTTAGAAGGGTGGCTGGATTGATTTTGAGGATGTCACTTTGATGGAGCCGCCCTGGCCTGGAAGATATCCTCCCATCCACTTCTTTTCTTTTGGGAAACGGGGATATACATCATGGGGCTGTCCGGCTGAAAAAGTAACCTCGAGGCGCCAAAAAACCGGTAGCCTGTCCCTAGATCAGGACCTAGATCAAGAGCGAATTCACTGATGCTGTCAGGCCTGGCTTTGGGCTTCCGAAAGCTTTCAGGCAACAGGCAACTCGTTGTGGTCTTGTGAAGACCGGGAAGCCCCCATTTTCCGGGAGAGGCACGGGGCGGGGGACAGGTTTTGGTTTGGGACACCTCCTTGTTTGAGCATCCGGTTTCAAGGAACTCAGGGCCAAGTTGGGCGAGTTGGTGCGATTTGGCTCTCCGAGGTGCCGATGACGCCTTCCAGCGCGTCCTGTTGCTGCTCTGGGACCGCAGGCCGGGACTGAGGGACTGAGGGACCAAAGGCGGCGCTGGAGTCCCCGAAAGGTCAAAGGGGAGATGCCTCTACCACTGCTGGTTTCTTAGATTCCATGTCAAAACCTGCAGCCTCATAAATTTCTTGATCGGAACCCGTGCTCTGAAGGAAGCCACAGATGGTTCTTTTACGGTAGATGGCACAGTTCCCTCTGGACAATTCTGCCCAATTTCCTCTGCAAGGGACCCTGTCAGGTACCGTGTTTGTGAGCAGGAGGGGCAAGTGTCCTGTTGCTCGCTCCGCTCGCGTTTTCAGGCAGCTCACCGCTGCGTGGCAGCGCCTGCGAGGCGCGCGGGAGTGCGGAGAGCGCGCAGTCTGAAGTGCGTGAATTTTCGGTGGGAGGGTCACCGGCGGGTCTGAATATTTTCCAGATGCATTGTTTTGTGTTGTTTGTTTTGCTGTTGTACTGCTTTGTAATGTGTTGCATTGTTTTTGGTTTGCTGGCTTGCTTTTTTTCGAGGCTTCTGTTGAACAAAACCTGTGTGTTTGGTTGTTCGTCCGGTGGCAGGCAGATGTGCCTTTCACGCCGGGATTTTTCCTTCTGCTGTGAACAAGTTCTGTTGAAAGTGGGGCAGCCAGGGTTTTGGCATGCCACTTGGGGTTTCGAAATCCGACCCCCCCAAAAAGAAAAGAGGCCCGTTTTTGAGGTCGATTGGAAGGGGCCCCGCAAAAACCCGATACAAACCGCGGCAACAGCCGGAATTCCGGTAGTTTGCCGGTTGCCGCTTCCAGCTTTGAAGGCGGCGTTCGGAGCTTCTCAACACATTGCGGGTTCCGGTGGATGGATCTAGTTTGGAGAGTGTCGCTTGGGCGGGCTGTTTTGATCGTCATCATCATCATCATCATCATCATCATCATCATCATCATCATCATCATCATCATCATCATCATTCTTCATATTGTACTGTTATCATTGTCTGTATTGGTATATGTAATTGCCTTTCTGTGCAAAACCTGGCCCAATCCCTTTGTTTCCTGTCAGGCCGTCCTGGATCCTGGAGGGCCGACAGCGGGCCGCGACTCGGCGGTTGCGCCCCTTGCGGGACCTGGGGTGATGACTGGGGTGCTTACCCAAATCAAGATGGTTCATCAACTTGGTGGTTTGGATTGGCGGTTTCCGGGAATCGGGTTTCCGATTCCACCCAGCAGAAAAGGGCATGCCACTGTCCATAGGTCTCCTTTTTGGTTGGTTTGCTTAAAAAATAGAAGGCCATTCCTGGTTTCCCGGGTGGTTGAAGATCATCTACCAGGGAAACCCATCTATTTTCCAAACCGGACACCTATGCCACTGGGCCTCCTTGGACCCAACCCCGCGGCACGCCCGCGGTCCGTCCGGCTCGGTCGGATGGCGAGGCTCACCGCGGGTCCGGGGGACGCCGCCTTCGCGGCGGTGGAGGCGCGGCTGCCGCGCATGGCGCAGCTCATGGAGTCCTCGCGAGGCGCGGGGAGTCGCCGCGCGCCTCCGCGCCGGCGAGCGGCGGAGGGAGCGGGGGGGGGGTGTATTCAACGGAAGAGGAGGTCTTTGAGGTCGGCAAAAAAAAGGGCGGCGGGAAGTTCGGGGCTCAAGAAACAGACATGTGTTGGTTTTGGTCTTTGCGGATTAGGGTGGGAATTGTTTTCGTTTAAGGATCTCTTTTCTCATTTGGGCCCCTGGCAGGTCGGCATAACCCGCAAGAATTAAGTTTGGAGGAGTCTCGAACGACGTCCCTTTGACAGAACAATTGTCTTCTACCCCCCCCCAAACATCGCAGTTATTTCGGCTTGGGAGCTCATATCAGTTTTGCAATTCGGGGTTGAAAGACGAGTCCTTCCTTATCACAATTAGGAAGCTCAATGCTTCTGTGGTTGCGCAGGCAAGCTTATACCAGTTCGGTCAAGCTTACCAGTCTGTGCTTTGCTTGGGACACGCGGGGCTCACGGAATTTCGACTTTTCCCACCACCCAGGGCACTCACCTTCTGTCTTTCCCAAGGTTTCTGGGGGCATTTGCGCAAATTTGGACTCCATGGCTTACACTCGAGGCTCGTGTGGCCCATCGCACACCGCGGGCCGCGGGCCGCGCTCGCTCGCCAGGCGCCGACCAGGCCGCTGACGGGCTCCGCGGCTTCGGGCCGGCGAGGGGCTCGTCCGACTTTTTTTTCTTCCTTTTTTCTTTCATTCTTTGTTAATGTTGAAACGCATGTGGAAACATGAACTGTGTGTGGAATGCTTGACCATAATGGCATGTGCCATTTTGGCTCAAGCATTGCTCTGGGTTCCTGGAACCCAAGCTGATTGAAAATCTTTGATCTTTTGCATTTTCGAACTTAACCCCGACCAAGCAATGGCTTCCTCGGCAACCTCGGCAACTTCCTTTGAGTTGATTGAGGACCAGACACTCACCGTGGAGGAGGTTGAAATGGCCAGCCAGGAGGCCCAGGACATTCGCACACGAGAGGCGGCAGTGGCGGCCGGCTTGGTTTTGGACGAGCCCGAGGTCCCCCCGTCAGCTTCGGCGACCGATGTGATGAATGACCTCTCCAGTGCACTGGAGCGTCTCCAAGTGGCATTTGCCACACCGACTCCCGGCTTGGGTGCCCCTGGCCCCGCCGAGGAGGGCGACAGGGACATGGGGGATGCGGACGGCACGGAGCGGGCCACACCACCGGAGGAGCGGAAAGCCTGTGTACTTCAAGCTGGTGGACCTCCCGGACTTGTTTCCAGTCCTTCCAGCGTCGGCGGCCACCTTGCTGAGAGACATCACGGTGGAGGAGGCGGTCTCCCTGTTTTACAAGTTTGTTGGGAAGAACCTCACGGAGGACCTGGTGATCCGCATCTTGGAGGCGTACGTCCCGATGAAGATCCAGCTCCGCCAGGAGGAGGTCTGGGCTTCGCAGTTCCAGAGGAACAAGGCGTGTATCGGCACACAGCGCATGTACAGGCTCGACGCAGGTCATTCCGACTACAAGTTCATGTGCAAGGCATGCGGAACGGGGTGGCCAGAGGCAGCCAAGCAGTGCTGGGTCTGCCCCGGCAAGGAGTTCGCCCCCTTCCAGGCACCCTCGGCCACCTATGAGGCGGACGGCATCACCTACAACCTGCTCATCTTGGAGGGCAAGCCGACCTGGATCCAGCAGCGGGACTGGGGAAGCCTGGGTGCCGCTGGCCCCGGTGGTACCCGGGCACAGGCCGACCGCAACTTGGTGGACGGCACGGTCTTGGGGAGAGCCCCTCCAAAAACGGACTTGGCGGAGGAGATCACCATGGCAGATGCGGTCCCGCTTAACAGGCGGGTGGACATCCGGAGGCGGACGACAAGGGTTGAAGGTCCGGGAAAGCCAGAGATCAAGGTCAAAGTGCAGCGGTCCCTGAAGGAGGCGGAGGCTCAGAGCTTTGAGCTCTACCATCCCCAGGTGGACCAGGCGATCAGGAAGAAGGAGGAGCTGCATAAGGCCTTGCGGGAGCATCGGGAACCGACTCCGGAAAAAGGCCTCGGCCAGACGGCGGCACAAGGAGTTGGTCACTGAGGAGATGCTGGACAACGAGATGGCGATCCTGGCGCCCCTCCAGGAGGGCATGCAGGCCCTGCCGTCAGATGAGGTGGCCAACGAGGGAGCCCGTGCCAACCTGGAGCGTTTCAAGGCCAAGCTGAGAGACCAGTACTTGGAGGGGAAGGGCGTTGACGCCAGCCAGGCATTGGCTGAGGCGATGGGCTCCATTCAGGAGGCCCAGGCGGCAAACAAGCGAATCCAGGACACCAACCAGGCATGGATGCTCAACCACACTCTCAAGAAGTGTCGGCGTGGCCGGATGATCTCAGGAAGGCCCTGGAGAGGGGCCTATTCTGCCCCCTGGAGCTGGAGGACCCCGACGACATCCCCCCGGTGGGGGGCATCAAGGAGAAGTATGTCCCCTACATCAAGATGCTCAGAGCGTCGCAGAACCCGTGGCACCAGGAGGCACTGCTGGAGGAGATGCCCGAGCTGGAGGCGTCCCAGCAAGACCTGGACTCTGAGGAAGGCAAGCTGTCCCTTATCCTCTGGGCAATGAAGCGGCACCAGGGAGAGCTCCGGATGTTTGGGGGGGTTTGGAAGAAGCACGCAAGCGGTGAGATCCTTCGGGGCGCTGACCAGCAGTTTAAGCTCGCGCCGGAGGAGGACTCACCCACTCACGTGCGAGCAGGACCACATCGACCCAGTCATCTACACGGCCTTGGAGATCCGAGCTCAGGTGAACCGGGGCGAGCGCCCGGCACCTGAGCAGGTGGTTGGTATCTTCTGGGAGAAGGGTGATGGGGTGTTCTGGACCAGACAGACGAGAACGTGGGACCTGCCGAGCCTGACGGGAGTGTACGCCCACAGGTTCACATTTAAGTATATCTACTCGGCCTGGACCACCTTCCCGTGGATTGTGAAGACGCAACGCCGGGGCCGCAATGCGGAGGGCTCGACCTCGGACAAATGGATGGGCAACATTCTCCAGATGAGGAAGGAGGCGGTGCCCTTCCTGGAGAGCCTGGCATCCCCAAGCCGCGCAGCAAGGAGGAGTGGAGTTACATCTTCAAGGAGATGGGGACATTCTTGGCGGCAAAGAATTTCATCGTGAACTGCCCGTTGCCCGTGATGGAGATGCCGGTGGCCCCCATCCATGACAGTAAGGAGGCGCTGCAGTTCAGGGCAATTTGCGACGAACGGATCACCCTCGCCTCGCTGAAGGCCTTCGACTCGGTCTACACCAAGTTGGTGGCGGGCCTGAGCAAGTCGTCGATGGTGGAGGTGAAGGTCAATTGGCGCTGCAATGTGGTCGTCGAGCAGGTCCCGCAGGAGGCGGCGGGGGCCTTGTATGACAGGTTGGGCTACTCCCAGGACCTCATCCGGCAGCTGGGTTGCTCCCCCCCCTTGGGTGCCGTTGGCCCCGGGGGGGGAGCGGCCAAGGAGGCGGACCCAAAGGCCAAGGTCCTGGGGGCAGACACCACGCTCCGCACCCCAGACCAGGGCACCAGGCGGTACCCGCCATCACCACGGCCACGGGCCAAAAGTACATCAACAAGCACTTCCCAACAAAGCGAAGCATGTGTTTTGGGGCTCCGTGGAGTGTGGCTTGGTCTTGCCAAGCATCAGTGCCTGGGAAGTGGTGAGCAAGGAAAAGTTCAAGACCACGGGGGGGCTATATGTGCAGATTTTGCAAGGGCTTTTGGAAGGCGAGCCGCGGGGGGACCAGGCTGCTCCAGATCACGGGGTGGCACAGGGATAAGGCCACCTGCTTGCAGTTGGTGATGGACGAGCCCCCGGAGCAGCTGTACAATCAGTGGATCCGCGATCGGATGGAGTTCTGAGGGTGGAGCCAACGGAGCCTCCCAGGGATGAGCGGCTGGTCCTGGGCGGAGCACCCCCCGCATGCGCTTCAGCTCCTCGAACGGCCTGGAGGATGTCTCCACGGCCTTGTGGTCGGTCATCCTGAGCAACCCGGAGAAGTCGGGGCTGGCGGCAATCCACTCGGTGGCGAAGGAGGCGATCCTGAAGGGAGGGAGCCGCTAGGTTTTGTCTCACAACCCTGTCGGATGTGGGAGTCGTGTGATCTCTTCCTCCCGGGACTTGGGTGCCATTGGCCCCGTCTCCGGGGGGGGGGAAATGTCTTCCTTATTGGGTTCGGTTTTCACCACTGTTTCCTCTCTTATTCCATTTTGGTGGCGCACGTGGGTTTTTCCGGTGGCATGGCAGTGGAGCCACGTCACGGCAGCTTGATCTCCTCGACCATGAGGCCACATGCATTAGCTGCCCCAAGGACGGGCCATCTCAGCCACGGTTCGGAAAAAAGTGGCTGCGGCCGACTCATGGTTTCCTTGAGGTCCCCTTGAGGTTTTGGGGAATCCCCCACCTGGTCGGTCTCCCCCTCCGTGCTTTTGGGGGGTTTCTGGGGTCTCCCCCCTCTCCCTGTTAAAATCTCGGGACTTTCGGGGGGACGTGTCGGGATGCGTGTGGCCTGCCTGCTCCATCTGCACTCTGCATTCTGCAAGGTTGGAGCATGCATGCATTGTGCCGCGGTTGGGTCCCGGCGGTTCGATAGGAGGCTCAAAACCCCCTTTTCATCATGGCTAGGGTATCTACCAAGTTTCTTATGCGCCCGCCCTACACACGTCTTTGGGACCGCATTCCAAGGGTCCTATGGGACACGTTGGCGGATGAGTCCTTCTCCCCAAGACAGACGGACGGGGAGCTGTTGGTCCTGATGTGCCTGCGCCAAGGCACTGAGGAGGAGGGGAGGAAGCTGGGCGGAGAGCCGGCAATCCGCTTCTCTCAGCTCCTGGAACTCTCGGGCATTCCGGTAGGACAAGACGGCGGCAGGTAGGCTTCCCCAGCCTCTGTCCGCGGCGGACCTGGCCGACCTGTGGGACAGCCTATGGTTCCTCCTCCTGGCGACGGCGGATGGCAAGCCGAGCGAGGACTTTTCCCCGCTGGAGAATGAATGGGACCGCCAGGACCAATTGAGGTGGTTCTCACGAGATGATCCACCCCCACTCCAGCAACCGGAGCTTCTGAAGTGGAGGCACTGGCGCCCGGGCAAAATAAGGGAAATGGAGCCCACGACCCAGCGAGCGCTGGAACTCCATATGCGCGGGAAATGGGCGGAACGGCTCCTCGCCCACTTTGCCCCGTTTGCGGAGCACATCGCATAACATCCTGGGAGAGGACTTCCGCAAGGAGGCATTGGACCTCCTGGGGGACACTAGGTTCCGGACACTCAGGCAACATTGCCTGGTCTACGAGAGTCTCCGGAAGAGAGGCTTCACGGTGATTCCCTGGCAGGAACGTCATGTCCGCTCTCTCCTCAACCAGCTCGCCGAAGAGGAGGTCACCCCGTGCAAGCTACGGCAGGTGTGGAACACCCTCAAATGGTATTCCAAGACCTTCGGTATGCTGAAGATAGACGAGCTCCATCGCCTCAAGTCCAAGAAGAGCTTGTTGGAAGAGGCACTCACGGACCAGCGCAAGGCGGTGGTCCCCAGCAAAGAGGTCATATGGGCTCTGGAGGAAGGGGCTGGCTACGATCACCTGGGTGCCACCGGCCCCGGTACGCAGGCGGCCCCGGGGAGGAGCAGACACGAGGCACTGGACGCATTCATCCTGGGTTTCGC